ACACACACACACGCGCGCACGCGCACACACTCTCTCTCTCTCTCTCTCTCTCTCTCTGACACATACACACCCTCTCTGGTATACTCCGGCGCAAAAATTACTATGAGTTTGTGATGTTTTACTTATAGGCTATAATGTAATGGGAAAAGGAATAAGGGAACTATCCGTATTCTCTAACTTTCCTTTAGGCACATTTCTTCTCACGCACTGGTTATTGATCATCGATGGTGAAAGATCGTTAAATTAATTAAATTAAAATTAATCAAGGTATTTTTTCTGTAGGTGGTTTGTACCTGAAGGATTGGATGGCTGGTTTAAAGGATGTGGTTGCAAAAACACCAAGGAGATGACCTGGTGGGAAGAACAGGAACTACCGACGCATCCAAATATCCAGATGGTTTTCACGCCTGCGCAACAGGATAGTAATAAGGTAATTAATTAATTAATTAATTAAACTCCAAAAACCATGTGTATTGGTCTTTATGAAGAAAAGCGAGTAGATGCAAAACCTCATAAAAATTTCACGTTCTTTGTGTCTGTTTCATACTAATCAAGTATTTTATGTCAGCATGGGTCTGCGCGAAACTTAACGTGATAAACGTACCAAAAAATTCCAACAATTATTAAATAAAATTCTTCTTTCGTGTTAAAATCAGACTGCGTTAAGATCATATTATTTGTCATCTGTACAGGAGATATATATAGTATGCAATAATTTATCATTGCAGTGGTTATTGTTTATGGATCCTGCTATATTTTAGTTTTGAACTTTTATTTTGGACTCCTTCATTTTGGCAGAGAATGTAAGTAAGCGGGCCATGACTGTGTTCATGCATCAATCGTGTATGTTTTTTGGATGTTGCGTGACTAAAAAACAACAAGATTCTCAGCGATAGTAACCAGCTTAAGCAGAAGGTTATCCCTCGATCAAAGTTAACATTTCTAGCCCATAAAGATGTTAGGATTATATGGTGAAGATGTTAGTGCCATCTTCTCGTTTTTCAGAAAGTAGAATTCAGTTTTCAGCTTGTAGAATCGCATGAATGTCCGTGCGTGCGTGCGTGCGTCCGTGCGTGCGTGCGTCCGTCTGTGCGTCCGTCAACAGTTATGGCACAAATCTTTGTTAGAAAGTTCAGAAGATTCATCAAAGATGTTATCTGTTTTTGTTTTGCAGGTATTGTGGGGAAGCTGGGCCGTGATTGGTCCAAAACACTGCTTCTTCTTTGCCGGCGATACGGGTTACTTCAACCAATGCCGCCCCAGCCAGCAAGCACGAGCCACGATGTGCACAGCCAAAGACGTGGGTAACAGTGGTGTCGCGGTCTGCTTTTTTTCTCTTTTTTTTCTTTTGCGTGTATGCGTGAGAATGTGTAGGGCATGCGGGAGTGCGGGAGAATGGGTCCAGATGCGTGAGTCTCCCGCGAAATGTGCAGCGTGAGACTTGGTAGGTCTGCTAACAGAGTAAGATTTAAACTAAAAGGTGAAATTTTATTTTCGGGGGTGCATCAAATGCAGTCTAGTCTAAGACATTCAAATTTTTTAAATTTTGCTAGGGGAGACCCCCAGAACTCCCTCTACCTCTCTCCCCCCGCGTCTGCCTGCAGAATCCACATTCGTGCCTACTGCACGCCTTTGTCAAGTTTGAATTCATCATGCACGTTTTTTCCCCAAACTGGCCATTACCGCCATTGTTTAATTTTTCCTCAAAAGAAACCCTGTATTCTCTAAACATATTTCAAGTCCATTGATTTATTGATTGCCGTGGGCTTTTCGTGGCGCATAGGCAAGCAACGCGACGGATAGTAAGACATGGAAACCTCTACCGAACAAAACAGGAAGCACCTACAGTTGTCCGTGGACAGACTGGGTATCTCCGAATCCACTCAGAGCATCATCAGGGACGTCGCCGATAAACGTGAAAAGCTTGAATGACATGAGTAAATGGTTGAGGGAGAAAAGGCCTAAAATACCTGGAACACAGGTAAGATTTTTACTGCATGTGTGAAAAAGCACTTCGTTAGAGTCGTGCTATCAGTCAACTCCATTACTCTGTATTCTGAGTGTGTCCAGCCGCAGGCCATAACAGGGGTAGAAATTAACTTTTGAACAAGGGAGTCCAACGGACTCCCTGCCTTCAAAAAGAGGGAGTCCGCAGCAAAATGAGGGAGTCCGCAGTCTTAAGTTCAAAATTAAAGATAATAATGCATGTGCTTATTTTAAAGATTCATGCGATAGCACGTCTGCCATATTATGGCAGAATTTTCAGGGAGTCACACGGACTCCTGCATATGTCAAATCAGGGAGTATCGCATTAATTTCGCACCCTGCCATAACCCTAACCTTATTCCTAACCTCTACCTCTGATCCTCACCTTAACCCAAACCATAACCGTAACACTAAGCCTAACCTTAAGACTCGCTTTAAACATAAACATAAAAACCGGGGAAAAAATCGTCATGGTAAATAATCTCACCGTTTCCCGCAGGAGCTGGACCGGCGACTACCGATACTGCCGATCAACGTCAATGCCGTACTTCAGCCCACAGATGGCGTTAGGGTCACTTGGATCGGCCACGCGACAAGTCTAGTCCAGTTCGACGGGATCAATCTACTCACGGATCCCATGTTCTCGAGGGTAGCTGAGCCGACACAGTACATGGGGCCACTGCGCTATCGCCTGGTCCCTCCCAATCTGTCCAACCTCTTCGATGAAATGAGTGCGTGTGTCATCTTACTATATCATCTAGGGTTTATAGTTGATCGAAATTTGAATGATATCGTAATTTAACATCATGTGCGCATATTTTTTGTGATAATATAATTGTGATAGTAACCTGTATATTTGTAAAATAATCGCAGTAATAACCTGCGCCAGTTACGATGCATTCTCCACGGCTAAAAGTTAATCGATTTTGAAATGTGGTTCCTTGTCTTCATGCTGTTCTAGTGCTACTAGTGGCTCATTGGTTCAGAAATAGAAAACCCAATGCGTACTCCTTGCCTTGACGTTTTCAGAAATCCACGCTGTGTTGATAAGCCACAATCATTATGATCATTTGGATTACAAAAGCGTAACTGATTTGAATAGACGATTCCCGGAAGCCTGGTTCGTATATATACATTTTGTTAAATGAGCAAACCTCACATGCAGAGTTAAAATGCGTAACTTTTCGGCTTGCAACCTTTCCCACGCATTGTGATCCGTGTTCCCGTATAAATCGCAAAACACACACGCTGATAGAGATTCTGTCTCGCCTATTAGCGGACATATACTGACTACCCAGATAAATGACGTTGGCCCAACGTCATTTTGCCAACGTTGGCCCAACGGATTTTTGCTCAGCGCGCCAACGTTGGCCCAACGTCATATTGCCAACGTTGGCCCAATGTCTGACAGCCAACGTTGGCCCAACGGCTTTTTGCTCAACGTTGATTTCCCCCTCAAACACTTCCTTTTTGGTTCTCTCTCTCTCTCTCTCACACACACACGCGCGCGCGCACACCTCTCTCTCTCTCTCTCTCTCT